TGACTTGGAGATGGGGGTTGATCCTGGATTCTTTGTGTGGACCAAAGCGATTTTAAGGGCCTTAAAAGAGAAAAAGTAGGGCAGGAGGGTCAGAATCACAGTGACGCAGCGGGAGAGGGACTCAAGTGGGCAATGTGGGCTGTAAAGGTGGCGGAAAGAGCCGCGGAACCAAGCAACGCAGGAGGCTTACAATCCTGGAGGAGACAAGGAGACTGATTCTCTCCCAGAGCCTCCAGAAGGGACCCAGCCCTGAGACAGCTGGAGTTTCTCCCGGGGGAACCCGTTTGAGACCTCTGCGCTACAGAACTATAAGATAAGTCCGCATTGTCTTAAGCCACCCAGCTTGTGGTAATTGGCTGCAGCAGCCATGGGAAACCAAGACAGTCTCAAACGCCGTCCTTTCCCTGTCAGAACTGGGTGAACGTTGATGTCGAAGACGCTGCAGAACTGGGTTCGAGCAACACAGCCACATGCGTACACCATGCAAATCTCCAAACCACTCATTTGCTTATAGAACGAAACAGGCATGTGCAGCAAACCACGAAGTCCCACGACGTTTAGCCAGTTCGTGTCTGGTTTTCATCTTCTGTCTTCGCGAGGTCTGGAGCACGCAGAGCAGTGGGCACAGAGCGTGTGAAGGCAGAGCTCCGTGAATTTGCACAAATGTTTTCACCCGTGGGACCGCTACTCAGGTCAAGCTACAGAACATCTCCAGGACCCCAAGAAAGTGCCTTGCCCTCCCCTGTCCCCAGCCCGAGCCAGTAACTGATACAAACGTCATTTCTTTGTGTGTACCATACTTGCTTCCTAATGAATAAAATCACGCGTGTGTTCTCTGTGTCCAGCTCTTCTCACGCAGTTTAGGACATGTATTTCCACACTCGTCCGTGTCATTGCGCGTGTCCTTTTTGTTTGACCCTTGATTTCTGAGTAACACTCCATTGTGTGAATGCACGGCGGCTTACTTGTCGGTCCTCTTACAGAGAGCCAGCGGGGCCGTCTGTGTACGGGAGCTCCTGCGCTTTACGGATCAGGCTGACAGCAGTGCCGCCCTGTGAGTGTCTGTGGCACGAGTTGTCCTTTCTCTGGAGGGAGGCGGCGCCTTCAGCTTCAGCAGATGCTTGTCAAGTAGTTTCCCAAGTGGTTGCTCCACATACACTCCCACCAGACCCCTGAGTGGCCGCACCTTCACGGTCTTTCTCAGTGAATTGCCAAAGGGAAACTTCTTTACGAATGGAAAGCCACTACCCGCCCCCCTTTTTGTGTGTGTGTGTGTTTAAACAACAGAGTAATCTTTTTTTTAAATTTATTTTCAGCATAACAGTATTCCTTGTTTTTGTACCACACCCAGTGCTCCATGCAGTCCGTGCCCTCTCTAGTACCCACCACCTGGTTCCCCCAACCTCCCACCCTCCACCCCTTCAAACCCCTCAGATTGTTTTTCAGAGTCCATAGTCTCTCATGGTTCACCTCCCCTTCCAATTTCTCCCAACTCCCTTCTCCTCTCTAACTCCCCATGTCCTCCATGCTATTTGTTATGCTCCACAAATAAGTGAAACAATATGATAATTGACTCTCTCTGCTTGACTTATTTCACTCAGCATAATCTCTTCCAGTCCCGTCCATGTTGCTACAAAAGTTGGGTATTCATCCTTTCTGATGGAGGCATCATACTCCATAGTGTATATGGACCACATCTTCTGTATCTTTGGTACCCCCCCCCTTTTTTTATGGTACTGAGGGTGACGGTGACAATAAGCCCAAGAAAGCAAACAATATCCTTACCTCCTGGCTGGATGCTTGCTCTGAGCAGGAAGCTGCTGTCTCTGAGAGAGAGGACGGAGGTGGGGAGGGGAGGGAGGAGGATTAGCTCCAGACTAGACTATCGACTTCGGGCGGGTGGTGGAACCCCTCACATCCGTTAGGATAGCTGTTATTAAAAAAAAACCAGGGTTGGGGTGCCTGGGTGGCTCAGTGGGTTAAGCGTCTGCCTTTGACTCAGATCATGATCCCAGGGTCCTGAGGTCGAGCCCCGTGTTAGGCTCCCTGCTCAGCGGGGAGCCTGCTTCTCCCTCTCCCTCTGCCTCCTGCTCCTCCTGCTTGTGCTCTCTCCCTCGCTCGCTGTCTCTGAAATAAATAAATAAAGTCTTAAAAAAAAACCCAAAACCTAGGAAGCAACAACTGTTGTTGAGGGTGTGGAGAAAAGGGAACCCTTGTGTACCATTAGGAATGTGAGTTGGTGTGGCTCCTGTGGGAAACAGCATGGAGGTTCCCAGAAAAAACATTGCAGAATTGCAGAGTTGCCCTACAATCCAGCAATTCCACTTCAGGGCGAAGACCCCAGGAAGTGGAAGTAGGGTCCCAAGGGGTATCTGCACACCCGTATATTCATAGCATCATTATTCACAATGGCTACGACATCGAACAGACGAGCAAACGTGTTATTAAAAAGGAGGAAACCTCTGACGCGTGCTTCGCCATGGACGGCCTTGAGGACATTCTGCTGCATCATAGACGGAAAGTGGGGTGGTGGTACGGGCGCTGGGGGAGGGGGTTGTCGTTCAGTGGGGATAGAGTGTCAGCTGTAAGGAGGTAGGAGGAGCTGGGAATGTGTTCAGTACCGCCGAGCTGTTCGCCGGAAAACGGTTCCGAGTTTGAAGTTTGTGTTATGTGTATCTTGACTCAAATTTTTAAAAGGATTTTATTTACTTATTTGAGAGAGAATGAGCCAGGGAGAGCACAGAGGGAGTGGGAGAGGGGGAAGCAGGCTCCCTGCTGAGCAGAGAGCCCAATGCGAGGCTCGATCCCAGGACCCTGAGATCATGACCTGAGCTGAAGGCAGAGGCTCAACCCACTGAGCCACCCAGGCGCCTCCAAAACTGAATTTTTAAAAAGCAATAGAAGAGGGGGCCAAAGAGGGAGGAAACTCGCCTCCTTGGGGTTCAGTGTTGTTTGGTCCTGGACGGTCCTGGAGGAGGGAAAGCGTAGGGACTGTGGCGAGGGAGACCTTGAGGCCATGTCCAGAGCGGGCCCTGCCCCGCCGGGTGGGGCATTGAAAGCCTCCTGACCAGGGTGGCTCCTGAGGAGCGTGAAGCCGGCAGGATGGACTGGGGAGTGTGGTGAGGGGAGGGGACGAGTGGGGTCAGTGGTGGAGTGGACCAGAGTGGGAGACTAGGACAGAGCGGGGACAGCGTTTTCTAGGACAAGAGCAGGTGTGGGTGAGGAGACAAGTGGGCAGCGTGCCGGCGGAGCCCGGTGGGGACAGTGGTGGAGGCCTGTCAAGAAGGAGGAAGGCTGCGCTGGGGGCTGTGGACAGAGGGTGCAGGTGTCTGGGGAAACGCATTCAGATTTGAGTTTCGAGGGTTTGGGAGTCACCCCTGTCCATAGAAGACCTACCTGCTAATTTGTAATGCAGAAGCAAAGACACATTCTGCATATCCACAGCGTATGTGGTACTTTCTGATAAGAAAGCATTTCAGGTCTACTCACGGGCACAGGAACAGACCCGAGAGCCGCGTCTCCCCATTTGCCAGGTTTGGAAATCATCCTTTGTTTGCTCTGATCCCTTGTCTCTGTCTTTTCCCTTTACTGTAGAAGTATTTCATTTCATTTCATTGTATTATTTTATTTTATCTTACTTTATTTTAAAGTAGGTTCCACACCTAGTGTGGGGCTTGAACTCAGAACCCTGAGACGAAGAGTCGGATGCTGTGTGAACTGAGCCCCCCAGGCGGCCCCGCGGAAGTATGTTAGCGCAAATCCCAGCCATCGTGTCAACTCACCCTTACACCCGTCCAAAAGCTCTCTAAAAAAATAAGATGGATACTTTCTTACCTGTCCCTAAGACCATTTCCACACCCAACAGAAGGGATGAGAAGGCCTGACATCATCGAATACCCAGTTCACAATTTCCTTGATTGCCTTAAAAAGTATTTTTTTTTTCCATAACCACGTTTCTTTGACTCTGACTCCAAACACGGGCCCCTCGTGCTTTTGCCTGCTCAGTCGCTAATGTGTCTTTGAATCTAGACTGTGTGCCCTGTGGCTTCTAAATTTGATACAACAATTTTTATTGGTATAAACCTAATTAAAGGGCGCCTTGGTGGCTCAGTGGGTTGGGCCTCTGCCTTCAGGTGGGGTCATCATCTCGTGGTCCTGGGATCGAGTTCCGCATCGGGCTCTCTGCTCAACAGGGACCCTGCTTCCCCTTCTCTCTCTGTCTGGCTCTCTGCCTACTTGTGATCTCTCTCTGTCAAATAAATAAAATCTTTAAAAGAAACCTAAGTAAAGAAGAAAATGCTTTAAAAAACTTTTATTTTCCCTATACCAAGGGAATTTACTCCTTTTCAAAAAATAACTATTCGCAAGGGCCATCGTCGGCAGGTTAATATAATGCAAGGCTGATAATGCATACGGTTCCCTAGAATCAGAACATGAACTAGCTCTAGAGTCCCAGGGTGGAGGGTAACCCAGTGTAGTTCCCATACTCCTGGAAGACAGCCTCCTGAATTTTGGGTTGAGAAGCTCCAGAATGAGAATACTAAAGAACGTTTCATTTTAAATTAGACTGTTACTCCCCCAACCTAGGGAATGCTTCTTGGTTTTCTTTTATGCCAACAAAGGAGAAAGGTGAGGCTGCTGGGGGGCTGCTGGGAAGACTGTGGCCCTTTTCTCTGCAGCGAGACAGATTCTGGGGGTGACTCTGTCTTCCTAAAACCTTGCGGCTCTGTACGTTGGGCGTGGAATGAACGTGTGTGTGGATGGGGTGCTCTCTGGCCCCCACCTTGGAACTCCTATTCCCTTTCTCACTTTATTTGTCCCCTGGGCACTTAGCCATTGGCATGCCGTCCTTCCCTCCCAGCCCGGTCCCCGCAGGAACACAAGACCCCCAGGAGCAGGGAGCCTGCGTCTATCACTGCTGGGTCTCTGGCACCTAGAAATGGTGCCGACACACAGATGGCACTCCGTAAAGATTTGTGGAATGACGAAACGTTTGCCAGCCCCCAGGTGCTGAATCCCGTGCCCCAGGAACTCAACGGGAGCAGGAGGAGAAGGAGAGACTCGCCTTGGAAACTCTACATCCCGGAAAGATGCAGAGCCTCAGGCCGGAACAGATCCGAGGGCTGCTTGAGCCTGAGAGGACCAAGACGCTGCTGCCCCAGGAGACCAGGGCCTGGGAGGAGCGCGTCGCCCTCGCCAAGGACGGGGCAGCTGTGCAGGTTGGGCCCTCCGGCGGGGACGGTGACCAGAAAGGTGAGGGCAGGCATCCCGTGGGTGGCGGGGGCAGGGGGAAGGTTGTGGCTGAGCCTCTGGGAAGACCCAACACTCCTTCCTTCACTCGTTCGGGGACAGCTATTTACGGAGCCCTGTGTCCATCAGCCTTTGCTGGGCGGCAGGTGGCCCTGAAACTTAGTCGTTTAAAGCCACAGTCACTCCTCTGCTCAGGATTCTGCAGGTCAGCATATGACGTGGGCTCAGGGGATGGTTCTCCCGCCGCCCGCATGTGCCTGAGCAGCCACCGACCGTGAGCTGGCGGAGGCAGCTGGTCGACCTCACGCGCTTCTGGCCGGTGTGAGGGTGCCAACCTGGGGCTGCTGTCTCCTCAGGCCAGCCCTGGCGCATTCTCGTGGGGGTGGTTGTGGGGATAGAGAGGGAGCTGGCCACCCAGTTGCTCACAGGCCATCGGTCAAAATCAGCTACGTGGTCAAGTTCAGCAGCCAGAGGTCGCGGGCTGCCCGGGGGTGTGGACACAGGGATCAACGAGCAAGTGGAAGGCCACGTGGGACAAAACCCACCAGAAGCACCTACTGCGTGCCCGGGGCTCAGGATCCAGCAGCGAACAGGATGGCCCCATAGAGCTGACTTTAGTGGACAAACAGACAATAAACAAGGAACGAAATTCAAAGAAAAGTAATGTCTGATGAGCGCTCTGAAGACGGTAAAGTGGGGTGATTGATGGAGAGGGACTCAAGGGTGGTCAGGGCGGGTGAGAGAGGCAGGAGAAGGGGTCATGTATTCCAGGAGCTGGTGGTCACCGCGTGGACAGCCAGGCCACTCCAGCAATGACCCTGTAGTGGCGACAAGCTTGCTGTGTTCCTGGAGGCTGTGCTGAACAGAGCAGGGACACAGGGGTAGAGGGTAGAGATCAGCCTGGGCCAGTGACGTCCTGGAGACCACAGCACAGAGTGTGTTATTTGAATATTGGGAAGCCACGGGAAGGTTTCAAAGAGGAGGAAGACAGGATCTCATTTGTGTTTCGAAAAGGTTCTGCTAACTCATGGGTTCTCAGCTGGGGGCGATGTTATCCCCCACCTCCCCTCCCCAGGGGATGTTTGATAAAGTCTGGAGTTTGGGTTATCTGCATGGGGAAGATGTCACCGCCACGTCACAGAGGTCAAGGACCCATCCCCACCACAAGGAGTTACATAGCCCCCAAGGTCAATGGTGCCCAGGCCGAGACAGCCTGCATCCAGCTGTGTGTGCGGATGAACCGTAGGACGAGGAGGTCGTAGTGGAAGCTGGGAGGACAGATAGGGGTTTGCCGCAACCGTCTGGGAGAGAGAGGACCTAGGCGCGTGTGGCAGTGGTGGACATAGGTGCAGAGATTTGAGACACATCTGGGAGGGAGAATCAAGAGTTGTTGCTGATGGGCATGGGGAGGGGAGGACAAGAGAGACCACCAGGATAACTGCTGGGGTTTGGGCTCAAACAGCTGGACCAACGGTGGGACCCCTGAAAGGCAGCCCCTCAGCAGAATGGGCGCTGGACCTTCTACTGGGGCAGGGTCTTCCCCCTCCCACCGGGGACAAGTAGGCCTGGGACTGGGCGTGGATAATATGGGTATGAGTTCTAGCAGTGGGGAGGAGGCTGGGGGTCCTAGTGGGGCCTGGGTGCGGGGAGAGTGGACAGTGGCGCTCTCGGCCTGGCCCATGCTATCCAGCTAAGGAGCCAGAAGGTTGCTGGCATTTGAATGTGGGAAGATGTCTCCACTGGGCCAGCCTGCTGCTTCTCGGCAGATTGCGCACCTTCCCCTCCGCTCCCTCACTCGGTTTGTGCAGGAAGCCTGTAGAGAAGGGTCAGTGTCACCCATCCGACAAGGGAGGGAGCAGAGAGTCAGGTGCAAATCACAGCAGGTGACGGAAACAGGATCAGACTTCAGGTCTCGTGTTCTCTGGCCAGCTGGGCCAGAGTGCATGCGCGCGAGGGTGACAGGAAGGAGAATGGGGCTGGGGTGCCAGGAGGGACGGGCAGGCAGAGCCCGGCTGCCTGGTCACTGACTCGTGCCTCCTGTCTCCTCTACCAGGCCTGTCTTCTTCAGAGCCTGGGCTGGCGCAGGAGTGGAACGCGGTGGAGGGAGACGAGTCCGAGGACTCACAGGTAAGCTGGGGTTCCCTCCTCTTTCACAGATGCCCGCCCCCCAGACCCCAGTGGGTGGTCCCAATTTCTCCGCCTGCTTGGGGCTGTGAGCTCCGAGCCGTGTCCATGGGAAAGAGGACATTGTCCTGCAGTGGTCAGACATGGAAGGGGGGGTCCCCATGTGATGTGGAGACACATACCCTCCAGCCCTGCACTCAGCTCGTCTTCAATTAGCCATTCATTCGCCTGCCTCCTCGTTCACCCATCCACACTGTCATTTGCCTGCTCACCCCCATACACACTCCGTCCCTCCATCCCTTTGTCCCTCCATCCCCCCGTCTGTACGTTCATCTACCTCCTCTGTCTCACACGTCTGCTTCAGTTGCCACATATCCTTGGAGACATTTTTCCCCTTGGAAACTGAGACTAGTTGGGATTTCTGTGCAAGGGATTTGTGGAGGGAGCTGTGCTCCCAGGAGGAACTTGTAGGTGGTGAGGGAAGCTGGAAGGACTCAGAGGGAGTTTAGTTGGGGTTCAGCCTGGGCCCGAGCTCAGGAGGAGCTCTGGAGCCTCAGTAGTCCTCGTCCTCCTTTGAACGAGCCCCATCACGGGTGTGGATGACCTCCCGTGTGCTTCCCTGGGGAGGTGGCTCCTGTTAACGAAGGGCATTTCTCAGAAGGGGGCAGGCATAGACATAAGCCATAAACCGTGGCTAGCGGCCGATATGCAGAGCAATTGGGAGGCACTGTTGGGTCTATTAGTGGTCCGGGGTGTGTGTGTGTGTGTGTGTGTGTAAACCTTCTGTATTTATTACGCTTTCTTAACTTCATACTTGGATTTAAAAAATTGTCCTAAGTATTTCCAGTAAAATGCGCAGATCCGTGAGTGTGTATACATGTAACCAGCACTCCAAATGAAGATTTTGAGCGTTGCCATTTTCTCAGGAAATCCCTTCCTCTTCCTTTCTGGTCTCTCTCACTCCGTCACCCCGAGGCAACCACATTTCTGGTTTCTGATAGGTTAGTTTTGCCTGTTGTTGAGCTTCCTATAAACAGAGCCTACAACAACTCACATATGTTTCTTCAAACCTCCGAAAAGAGATTGTAGCAAAATTACTATCCTACCAGCTGGTGTCTTCATCATAAATATTCTGGATAACTCTCCGTGTTGATATATATATTAATCACCTTTGTTCTTTCTTAAATTGACGTTTTACAGCTGTCAAATACTTTGTAATGTGCTGTGTCATACCCATTTCCCTATCTGAGGAATTGTCAGATTTTTGGTGTTGTGGTTGCCATGGAAAAATAAATATTTGTCAAGTTGTCCTATTTTTCTATAGCGTGAATTATGAGGAACTTCATAAAAATCTGTATTTTCTGGTCCTATCCAAGATTTACTGCATCAGAAAAATCCAAGGGGGAAACCTCGATATTTGAGGAATATCTTCCAGGTTTTTCTGGGGCTTTGCCAGGTCTCAGAGCTGCTTGTGTCAGACGTTCCATAGTATCTGCTGCATCCACTTCTCTTCTTCATCAGGATTTTTTTCATGTTGCCACTGACTTTCCAGATAACTCACAATGTCATATCCATTTCCCAAACTTCCCTGATATTTTAAGACATGTTGCACTGTGCTCATCACGAATCTGCAGAATTGTCGCCATTGACCATTTTGTCTTCCGTCCTTCATCCTGGTATGTCTTTCCACTCCTGTGTTCATTTGACAAAGGTGTATGGAGCTCATAACGCTATACCGGGCAAGAAACAATGGTGGCCCCTCTGTTTCTAATATACTTTTTTTTTCTCTGTTCTAGGGCTTTGTGGAGTGGTCGAAAGCTCCACAGCAAACCACCATAATCTTGGTAGTGTGTGTCCTGTTTTTGTTCCTGGTTTTAACAGGGATGCCTGTGATGTTCCACATTTAACTACGATGAGGACGATTATTCTGAAATTGATCGCTCTTTCTTGTTAAGGAAACATCTGGGTTAAAAGTCAGCAATAGGTTTATTAGCAAATGCCTTCTAAACATCCATCAAGATAATTTTTTAAAAAAGATTTTATTTATTTGAAAGAGAGAGAATAAAAGAGAGCACGAGAGTGGGGAGGGTCAGAGGGAGAAGCAGACTCCCCGCTGAGCAGGGAGCCTGATGCGGGACTCAATCCAGGATCATGACCTGAGCGAAAGGCAGACACTCAACCAACTGGGCCACCCAGGCACCTGATGATTTTTTTTTAATTTAACCTCCTGGGGTGAGGTTTTGCATTATGGTATTTCATTGAACTTAAGACATCGTTGATTGTAAAACACATATTATTTTATATATGACTGAGAAGAAAAGCACTCTGCTTCATGGTAGGATCCCACCAACTGGAAGCTGCTTTCTGGCTTCAGAGAGGATGAAAGAATGTGCAACTTGGGACTGATGAAATCTGGTAGACTCCTCAATATCCCGTCATCTTGGTAGTCTTAGGATCGTGGTAGGCCAATCTTTCCAGACTCTGAATTGAACTTCCTGATGTTTTATGTACGACTTTTGCCTCTCTCTTCATACGTAAGATCGGTGCTATCTTTATCACGTTTTGGTAACATGGCGAGGCTTGCATCCTAGAAGGATGTCCCTTTAATTGTTGTCTAAGCCTTAGAGTAGTTTCTGTAGCTTAAGGAGTATCACTTCCTAGACATTTTGAAGGAATTCACCAGGAATCAGGGTCCTTTGCTCTGGGGAGAACGTTTCAGCTAATTCTTGGGGGGCTTTCTCAGTTTCTTCCCATGCTCTTGACTTATGAATACTTTTTACTTCATAAATTTTGGTGGATCTCTAGTGATTTTTATGCCCTAGGAAATTCTTCATTCCATTGAACTTTTCAGATTGTTAGCTGAATTATGAACACTATTTTTTTTAAAGATTTTAATTTATTTATTTGACAGAGACACAGCGAGAGAGGGAACACAAGCGGGAGAGTGGGAGAGGGAGAAGCAGGGAGCCTAATGCAGGGCTCCATCCCAGGACCCTGGGATCATGACCTGAGCTGAAGGCAGACACTAAACCAACAGAGCCACCCAAGCGCCCTATGAATACTGTTCTATAATTAAATGAAAAACTTCCTTTATTTTGTTCTAACCCTCTTTTCCCTTTCAACTCCTGTTTGTGGTTGACCCATTATTAGATTTATCAAAGTTTTACCTCATCCATGATTACTTTTCTAAGGACTAGCATTGGGATTTATTTATGCCCATATTTCTCTAGTTTGTGATTTTATTATTTCCTTTGTCTGTTTTTATGTTGAATAGTTAATTCATTTATAATCTCTTTTTACAAAATTACTTGCTGAAGTAGTGTACTTAATAATAAATTACTTCTGATGATAGCCTTGGCCCCATCTTAAAGTTTGGTAACCTGTGTTCTTGTTTATGTTGTTGTCTAAAGGTTATATTGTAGTAATACATTGTATATGTATTAATTCTACGATATAAAAAGTTCTTTAAACTCAGTGATCATGTTTATTTAAAAATAGTTTTGTTTTAATAATTTATGGCACTGTGAACACAGAATGTGGTCTCTAATATAGTTGCGTTCAACACCTTCTTAAAAGTTTTTATTGTGGCCTACAACATGCCCAGTGTTTGTACACGTACATTTAAGGTGAATATGTATTTTCGGTCTGTAGGAGTCAGAACTCTACATGTCTGCTAACTAACTCAGTCTTATCAGTTATATTGATTAGATCCATGTGTTAATTTAATTTTGGCTCACCTTATCTGCCAAAAGCCAATAAGGGTGTGTGAAAATCTGTTACTATGACTATGTTTGTCGATATATTTTTGTAACGTTTGCTTTATGTATTCAGCCACTGTGTTATCTCATGCTTACAAGTTACAGGACTGTTACATCTTTGCCAGTTCAAGAGTAAAGGTAAAGCACAAGGCCAGGCACAGAGTAGCCACGCAATAAATGTATAGTTCAAACCTCATTCTGGATCCTTTGTGAAATAGAAAGTGATTGTCTTGACTTTTATTTGACCTTGTCTGATAGAGGTCAGTATTTCCATCCTGCTTTTTCATTCATGAGTGTGTACGTGTGTGTGTCTTTAGACTCTTGGTATCATTTTGTTTTGATAGGACTTCGAGTGGCCTCTCCTGGGTTTGCCAAAGAAATCAGGGCAGGAAGAAGCCTGGGATGCTCTCTCTCCATGTCCTTCCTGCCAGCCCATTGCATCCAAAAAGCAAGAACAGTCCCTTAAAAGAAACACAGGCCTCAGCTGTTACATTCATTAGGATTTACTGGTTGCAAATAACAGAAGCTCAATTCGAAGGAGCTCAAACTTGTTATTGATTAATTATTGATTCATGTTATACCACCAAAGTTCGGGAGGAAACTGGCTTAATTTATAGCTGGTTCCTGGGGCCTAAAAATATCACTAAAACCTTTCCTCCTCATTGACCTCAGGGCTATGGTCTCTTTCAGGAATGACCTCCTTCTTTTTCTCCACATGGCTGGGACGATGGCTACCACCACCACCCTGACCTTCATGTCCAAGTGGCAAAGTGGGGGACATGGGACAGACTCTCATCACACCCAGTCCCACCTCCCACCCCTTCTCTGCCATAAGAACTGGAACCCTGAAGTAAGGCATGGAGAGAATAGTAGCTGAAGGCAGGAGCAAGTTGTCATGGGAACAGGTGGAGAATGGACAGGAAGGACAGGGCAAGGGTGGAAATGAGGAGCTGCCATGGGGACCGTCCCAGATGTCCAGGCCAGAGGGGGTGCTGTGGGAGCTGTGGGCTGATTACTTCGGCTTGTGCCGCAAGTCTTCATCAAATCTGTGGGAAATAATCATGAAAATAATGTAAATCATATAAGCAGTGGTCATTCATTTGGATTCTATCACATGCCAGAACCTCATTTCATTGACGATGGAAGTATCCACCCACAACCGTGATGTTCCATTCTCCAAGGCCGGATGGGTCCCATAAAACCGTAATTAAGACCATTCCTAACCCACTCAGTTCAGCAGGTGAAAGTCAAATTCCTCACAGTGGCCACCCATCCCTGAGGGAACTGGCCCGCTCTTGCACCCCTCCCTCCATCCCATCCGCACTGGCCTTCTGATGTTTGAACAAACCCATCATGTGCCTGCCTCTGGACCTTTGCCCTGACTCTGGAATGGACCTCTTCCTGGAATGCTCTTTCCCAGAAGCTGAGGTGGCCCCCTCACCTCCTGCAGTGCTCTGCTCCAACGTCTCCTCAGACAAGCCTCCGCCACCATCTGCAAAGAGCACCTCCCTCCACTGGTCACTCTCTGCATAGCCTGTATAACCAACGGACAGTTATGGGTTCATGAGGTTCTGGTCTGTCCTCCTCTGCTGGGTGAGTCCTGGGAAGGTTGAATTGGGGGAGGGGGCTGCAGAGTTCAGCTTGTGTTTCCTGGGAACTCTCCATGCCAGCTGGTGGGACCCCACACCTTTCCGACCCGCTCCCCCATGCTCTTGAAGCTGCTCTGTTCCCTCCTGGAATGGGACATGTTGAACCCAGGGAAGCATCTGTATAAAGTATCTGGGGAACACATTGTGTGGGGGATGGGGGAGGGAACATCACTTAAGTTGGCAAATATGGTCCCACCCATTCTCAGAGCCCCGGACCTCCATCCTTTCTGCCCTAGAGGGCAAGTTTCCCCTGGTCTCTGTGGTGACTGAACTCGGGCCTATGTCTGTAAACGAGGGTCCCATTGCACTCATTCATCCATTCACCCAGCACTCCCTGAAGGCCTACTGTGTGCAGAGCACCTCAGCTGGGCGAAGTTCAGAAAGAGGAGTCAGACTGTGTGGCCCATGACCCTGAATCGTTGTAGGGTTGGGGCCGGGCATGTTCAACTGTTCATTCATTCTATTTCTTGAGGACCTACTGTGTGCTGACACTTGAGTTGGGAGATGTCTGGGTGTAGGCAGCTGCAGACTGGGCTAGAGTCAAGAGACCAAACCAGGCCCCAACTCGCGCCTCCTTGAAGCCCAGGGGCTAATAGCCGTGTGGGTGGAAAAGTTGAGCAGCGCTTGAGAAAGGGCCTGAGCTATGGATCCTAAGACTCGCTGACGTGGTTGCCTGCATGTGCTTATCTGGAATGGGCAAAACAGGCCTGCTCATTAAACCATTGTGGGATTGTGCTGTCCTTGCATGGGCCATAAACTATGTCTTGAGCCACTTTGAAGATAGTGCACCTGGTTCAAGAATTATCTGAAGACAGAGACCACTGGCATCAGAGGGTCTGCTATTAGTCCTTGGGAAATAGATAATGGGAAAACTTGAAGGGTTTTCTGTGCATGTTGCAAATTCTTTAGTAATCAGCTAAAAATAGATACTTCCTTATAATTGTTTCTGTTAGCTATATAATGCCTCACAGCCTTGAATAAAATTGGCACTGCTTGGACATCATCCACTTTGCCCCTCCTGTCCCCATTTCTTTGCGTCTCGTCTTCGTCTCACCATCCTCTTGCCCTCTCGACCCTGGTCGTGTTGTCGCGCCGGCCGTGACATCTGGGACATAGGGATGAACTGGCTGTGTCATCCCTGACTCTGAATGACTCCAGGGTTGATGCTGGTATGTACAATTATTCAGTCACCTGGAGCTTCTTAAGGACCTACTATGTGCTAAGGGTTGGGCCAGTTTGGATTCCAGGAGGGAATGAGGACACATGCTCTCTGATTCAGGGCTGGTGCTAAGGATGTTCACTTATTCATTAATTTACCTGGCCTATTAATGTATATCTCCTAAGGACCTAGTGTGTGCTGGTGCTTGGGCTGGATGATGCCTGGGTACAAGGAGGAAGCAACTGTGTGGCCTCTGGCCTTGAATGACTCCAGGGCCAATGCTGGGATGTTAAAACTAGTCACCCAGTACTTCATAAGGATCTCCTCTGTGCTGAGGCCTGAGTGCTGTCTGGAGCACAGAGAAGACTCAAGATACCATGAGTCTTGACTCTAAGACAGGTCGGGGATTTTTCACTCATTTGTCTATTCATGTGAGATTTCCTGCGTGCCGAGACCTGTGTAGGTAATGCCAGGGCAAAAGTAATGGCACACATCCTGTCCTCCTGGGCCCTTCGCCAGCTTCCTTGGTAGGACTAAGAGCCAAGGAAGCTGATGGGGCAGGAAGACAGATGTCTTTGTGTTTATGTGTCTGTGTCGCTGTCTTAGCTTCCCTCCTCCTTGTACACATTAAAGATCATTTATTTTCAAGGCTTGACATTATTTTTTGACAAATTACATCCCTTTTCCAAACTTTTTCAGGAAAGGAAATCTGAATATGGAATAGACACTGGATGACATCCAGAAATTAATCTTTCAACGGGTGTGATGATATTGTGGTTTTATAGAGGCTACTTTTTCTTTTCCTAAGGAGATACAAACTAAGGTATTTAGCAGTAAAGTGATACCATGTCTGCAATTTACTTGAAAATAGACCAGGAAAAAAATATAGACATATTTTCATGACCCATTCTAAAAGCAAATATGTATCATAAAATATGGCAAATGTTGTTATGAAGACATTTTTGGTTATTGTATTCATATTCTATTAAGATAGTATTCTTAAGGCATTCAAATTGGATGGGCATATGGGCATTTATTGTACCTTTTTTGTATAAATGAAAAATCTCATAAAATTATTTAATGTGGGGGGTTTGTTTTTATGCAGGGGGGGCGGTTTACGTTGTCCCATGATACAGGACACTTTATTGGTCAACCTTGTAAAAAAAAATTCCTAACCGAAAAATATTTTTCCCATGATTTTTTTCTTTTCTGGAGCTGAACACATCACAGTGAGATCAAAAGAATCATAAGTGATACCCATGAAATCTGATGCCCAAACCTTGTGAAACAGGAACACCTGTTCTCTTGTCTAATGGTACAAGGCACTTCCAGATATAAAATAATAAGAGGTGGGAAGCTGTGTGCCGTGTGCTGCTGTACAGAAAGGTGTGCTGTGCATCTTTTTACAAATATCCACATAAATATTTGTTTCTATATGCACAGAAGATGCTGGAAAGATACCAGGAAACTCAAGAATGGTTGCTTCTAGGGAAGGGGGGACTTGTTGGATAGAGGGGATGGAGGAAGATAGGGGTAGGATTTTTTTTTTTAATTTGCTAATTGTGGACCCAAGAAATGTGTTACCCACAGTGTAATTTTGTAAAGATCATGTGTACGGCCATAAATTACCTCGTGGAGATAGTAGGTGACTCCTGTCTTCTGTCTCATCGCACCGTTGGGAAGGCCCTTCCTACACTGCCCCCAGGGTTGGCTATGATGCTCGCTTTGGCTGATAGGTCTAAAGGCAAACTCGACATAATCAGGGGCAGGAAGCGGTGCTTGTGTGGGCCCACTCTCCCAAATTCCTGCTAGTGCTGGGAGCACGAAGCCAGGTCAGATGTGCCTCCTGAGGAAGACAGCGACGTTGGCCCAGCGGAGCAGCCCTGGGACAGGCAGCCCCCATCCAACCGTCGGCTGACCACAGATGCGTCAGTGAGTCCAGCCAGGGTCAACTGGGCCTGGTCCAGACCAAGGGAAACACCCCCCATGGACAGCATTAAAGGGACAAGTGCACTCGGGAGGATTGTTACACAGCAACTGCTAACCGACGCGTCACTGCGGGGAGGGTTGTGAGCTGGGGGCAGAGAAAGCTGGAGCAGGGGAGGGTGCGTCCTCGCGCTGGAACAGGCCGGGGTCCACTCCCTCGGGTCTGTCAAGGGAGAGGCCTCTTCTAGAACCTGTCCTCCGGCCCGTCCTCACCTGGGCAGGGCTGTTTGCGGGCGCGTCTTTCAGACGCTGCTCCCTCGTTAACACGCCCACTTCCCCAAAGGAGCTGAACCTTTTACGCAGCTAAATTTATTGAACAAATGCCGACTCGGTCACAAAACCTTCAACTAAAGGCTCTCTAGGGACGCACGGACACTTCTCTGGGTCTCCTGTCTCGGGTCACATTCCTCACTCCGAACCAGAAGGCCGCGGGGGGGGGGGGGGGGGGGGGGGGGGCTGGGGGGCAGCCGGGGGGGCGAGCCCCCCCCGGGGCCCCCCCCCGGGTGTGCCCGCGGGCGAGTCCCTGCGCCTCTCCGAGCGCGGGCGGCCCAGGGAGCCGGGCGGCGCGCCCCTGAGCGCCTCGGGGCCGGAAGTGCGCCGTGAACGCGCGCGGCACGTCAGCTGCGGTCCGCCACCTCCCCGCCGCCCACCCGCGCCTCCTCCCGGGGGCAGCTCAGGTGTCGCCGCACCGGCCGCCCGAGCAGGCCTTCCTGTCGGCGTGCGTGCGCTGGTGGCGGATGAGCGCGGAGGAGAAGCTGAAGGCCTTGCCGCAGCCGCCGCACTCGAAGGGCTTCTCCCCGGTGTGCACGATGTGGTGCTGGATCAGGTAGGAGCGGTTGCTGAAGGCCTTGCCGCACTCGGGGCACGCGTACGGCCGCTCGCCCGTGTGCGTGCGCTGGTGCAGCGTGAGCGAGGAGCCCTGGCTGAAGGCCTTGCCGCACTGCGCGCAGCGGTAGGGCCTCTCGCCCGTGTGGACCTTCTGGTGCTCGATGAGGGAGGACACGTGGCTGAAGGCCTCGCCGCACTGCAGGCACCTGTAGGGCTTGGCGCCGGTGTGCGCCAGCTGGTGCTGCCGCAGGTGCGAGCGGTTGCTGAAGGCGCGGCCGCAGTCCGGGCACGCGTAGGGCCGCTCGCCCGTGTGCACGCGCTGGTGCTGGCTCAGGTGCGACACCTGCGTGAAGGCCTTGCCGCACTGCGCGCACGCGAACGGCTTCTCGCCCGTGTGGATGCGCCGGTGCTCGGCCAGCGAGGCGCTCTGGCTGAAGGGCGCGCCGCAGTCGGGGCAGGCGAACGGCTTCTCGCCGGTGTGCACGCGCCGGTGCTGCGTCAGGTGCGCGGTCTGCGAGAAGGCCTTGGCGCACTGGCCGCAGGCGTAGGGCCGCTCGGCCGTGTGCGTGCGCTGGTGGCGGATGAGCGCCGACGAGAAGCGGAAGGCCTTGGCGCACTGCGCGCACGCGAACGGCTTCTCGCCGGTGTGGATGCGCTGGTGCTCCAGCAGGGACGAGCGGTTGCGGAAGGCCTTGGCGCACTGGCCGCACGCGAACGGCCGCTCGCCCGTGTGCACGCGCCGGTGCTGGGCCAGGTGCGTGGGGCGCGCGAAGGCCTTGCCGCAGTCGGCGCAGCGGTGCGGCCGCTCGCCCGTGTGCGTGCGCCAGTGCGACGCCAGGTAGGAGCCCTGGCTGAAGGCCTTGCCGCACTCGGGGCACGCGTAGGGCCGCTCGCCCGTGTGCGTGCGCAGGTGCAGCGTCAGGTGCACGCTCTGGCTGAAGGCCTTGCCGCACTCGGCGCACGCGAACGGCCGCTCCCCGGTGTGCGTTCTTTGGTGCAGGGTGAACGCCGAGCAGTAGCTGAAGGCCTTGCCGCAGTCCCCACACTTCCACGGCTTCCCCGGGCCGCCCCCGCGCTCCTGCGCCCCGGACTCGGCCTGCTTCTGCTTCCGGTTCTTCCTCGGCGCCCCGCGCCTCTGGGGCCCGCTGTCGGTTTGGGGGGTTTGGGGACCGGGAGGGCTCGAGCCGGTTCCCGGAATCCCGCTGAGCTCATCCTGCGCCCGCACAGCTCGCCCGGCGGGCTCTTCCCCGTGGGCCACGGCCTGTTGCTTCAGGCAGCTCTCCCTGACCTGACCCTCTGGTTGCCAGGTTTTTCCCGCCTCGGAGCCCTGGGGGGCGGCCTTGAGCAAGAGTCCTTCCATCGCCGCCTCCTGAGCTACTACTGCCCGTCTTCACGTGTCCGCGATGGGATCTGAAAGAAAAGAAGAAAACCAAACAGGTTGGTCGTTTGTCCTGGGCTGGAAAAGGCTAAGTGCAGGGTCTCAGCCTCCACACTCCTGCCAGTTGGGGTCAGGTCGTTTTTCGTTGCCGGCCGTCCTGTGCGGGCCCCCCCACACCCCCCACCCCGCCATTGTGATTGCCAAATCACAATGATCCCCCATTTGATCCCCCCAGGTCAAAATTTTTGATCCCCGATTGAGAATCACGGACTTAACCAACTGAAAACAATTTTAAAAGGTCCTTCCAAAAATAGAACTCTGATAGCTTTTTTTTTTTAAAATAAAGATTTTATTTTATTTGAGAGAGAGACAGCACGAGTGGGGAGGAGAGGGAGAAGCAAGCTCCAACATGAGCAAGGAGCCTGAGGCAGGACTTAATCTCAGCACCCTGGGATCACGACCTGAGCTGAAGGCAGAGGCTTAACTGAGCCACCCAGGTGCCCCCTGACAGCCCTTAAATAAAGCTTTGCAACCTGGTGCTACAGGCTAGAAGGTGTCCAGCCACCTCACCAAATTCATAGATCAAAGCGTGAAGTGATGGTGTCTGCGGGAGAGGCCTTTGGGAGATAATGAGGCCCCTCCATGATGGGATTGGTGTCCTTATAAGAGGAAGAGAGACCAGAGCTCCCTCCACCTCGTGAGGGCACAGCGAGGAGGAGACCACCTCCAAGCCAGAAGGAAGGTTCTCCCCAGAACCCCAACCTGGCTGACACCCTAACCCTGGCTTCCAGCCTCTAGAACTGTGAGGAGATGGTTGTCGAAGACATGGAGTCTGTAGTACTTGGTTATGTCTGTTGGAGCTGAGAGTTTTCTTTGCTGGAGAAAAATCATACCCAGAGGGACAGGGAGCTCCCAAACTCCACGCATAACAGACTGGTGGTGGGAGCGGGCACTGGAGAAACCACTGGTATTTTTGAGGAAAGCTGAAGACACACATTCCCTGTAGCCCAATCATTACATTTTCTGGAATGTGAGCTTCTCTTGCTCCCATGTGTACCTGGAGGCCTAAGATCCTGTGTGACAGCTAGATACCAGAAAACCGTGCATCTGTCCATGGACAGGGGACAGTCCGAGGGACCGGGGTATATTCATACAGGGGAGTACCTCAGAGCATGAGCACGGCCGCCCATCAGCTGCCGCACCAGTTCAGAACCTTAGATACACGGTGTTGGCGAGAAAGTAAGATGCAGAGAATTTATCAGGTGCGATGCTATTTAGGTTACAAACAGGCAGACTCCACCATCTGTTTTTTAGGGATTGTGAACATGGGGCAAAGGTTCACTGTGCCACCCTGAATGGGGCCTGGCAGCATTGCCTGTGAACACCGACTGGGAACACGGACTCTGCTTTTTACCAGGAGCCCTGGGGTTCGAGGGCACGGGAATGTGGCCATCTTGGCTGCATTGTTACAGTGGTGATACCCAGCACCTGTTGAACACAGAGCTACGTGCCCGCGTCCTTTAAGCTCCTGCCACGTGTTAGCTCACTGCTCCTCAGTCACGTTCCCAGAAGGGGCAGTGCCCACACCTGGGCCACCTGACTCCAGAGCTTTTCCTTGATGCTCTTGCCTGCCTTGGGCTCCTACTGCTCCAACGATGGGCCTCGCCCTGTTCTGCAGCATCCCAGGCGTGCTCCTGACTCAGGGCCTTTGCCCAGGCCTCAGGGAGAAGACTTCTGAGTGCAGACCCAGAAGTGAAGGAGTGAGCGTTCTGGGCCACAAGTGCAGCAGGGGCAAAGGTCTGAGCAGGACCATGGCTGGGGTGACAGAGGAAAAGCAAAGGTGCTGGGTGTGTGTGTAGCAGAAGAACTGACGCAGATAGCAGGGGAGCTTAGGTGTGTGGGGGTGAGGGTCAGACCAAGCAGGATCTTGTGTGCAGTGGTGAGAAGCAGCCCCAGTTCTGGTGCCGTCTCCGCAGGCAGCCCTCAGGCCTGAGTCAGGCCCAGCTTTGTCCCCAGAGAGGGCAGGGGTACCCACCTTGTGGTCTTGGGAGCATTGGGTCCTGTCCACGTCCCTCAGTTTGTGACCCCTGCTCTGGCCACCCTGCACCGGTGGGTCTAGTCAGCACCTGTGAGAGAGAAGTAGGAGCCGTGAAGGAAGATGCTGGGGCAGAGGGCATGCGGGTGCAGGGCGGGGTAGTCCTGGCCCGGGCATGCAGGCAGAGAGGCAACCAGAGGCGAGACACAGACATACCCACAAGCACACACACACGGAGTCACACAGAATCACACGTGCTTCCCTGCTCACACAGGCAGTGTGCACTGGGACACCACACACAGTGACACACCCAGACGCACACAGTCACACATGTGCAGCGTCTGCCCCGTGTGCAGAAACACAGCGACCCGGGCTTGCACTGCATCTCCTATGCACCCTGGGACCCCTGCACAGATCGCCCCTCCCGGTCCAGGTGAGGCACACAGAAGAACGCAGGCACACTCAGGCTGGCAGACACACCCCTCGGAAAACACTGTGGACAGCAGCACACCCAGACACACGTGGAGTCACACACTGCACACCCCGAAGAGGTTCCACACGTGGGCACACATGGGCACGGGTCTCCGAGGGCCGACATCTGCTCAGTTACGCAGGCTGCTCCCCCTTTACGGGGCACCTGCCGGCAGATCAGTGACGTGCGGGGGGGGCGGGAAAGGGCTCACGTGCAGAGTTGCACCCACAGTTACACACCCGCAGGGGTTCTGCCGAGAGGCTCACACCTGCACGGCTCACACCTGCACGAGCACGCAGGTGCAAACACGGCGGCACGAGGGACGGGCTCACACAAAGTTCTGGAGTGACGCACGTGCAGACAGGCGGGGCGGGACTCACATGCACACCGCGTGGGAGTCACGAACGTCCAGCGACACAGCGACAAGCACACCCGCGCGCACACCCACCCGCGCACGCGCACACCAATGCCTCGCCTCCCAGCGCCAGCTCCGAAGGCCGTGGAGGGATCCCCCTGAGCTCCGTGGGTTCGGGTCAGGTTCTCCTTGGTCTCCAGCCGTCGTGGACCCCAGCAGCCCCTGGCCCCGCGGTGGCTCGGACAGGCCGGTTGTACGGGTCACGGCCGCGACCACCCGGATGGGCCGGAGCACCGGGCCGGTGCGGAGTGCGCGTGCGCGGCGGAACAACGGGGACCCGTGTGCCACTCCTGAGAACTACAATTCCCAGAAGGCGCTGCCCCGGGGCCGGAAGCTCCCCCGCCCTGCGGACGGAGGGACGGGCGGAGGGACCGCCCCCGACCTCGGCCTCGGATGGGGGGCGGGACTCTTCCTCCTCAGGGGCGGGGCGGCCCACGGCTCCGCGGGGAACCTACTGAGGATCAGAGACGCCAAGTCAGTGGACGCCGGCCGAACAGCGCCGCGAGGGCGGGAGCGGGCGCTCAGCACCCGCGGGCCGCGGCGGTCGGAGTTCGACCTCGTTCCGCTCCGGAGCAGAGCTGGCGGCGCCCGCATCCGCGTGGGCCGGCGGCTGGGCGAGCGGACGCGCCGCACCGCGTGCGCCCCGGGCCGCGGGTGTTCGCAGGCGCTCCCCGGGAGGAAGCTGTGCGGGCCGCCCGTGTCCCCCGTCCCGCTGGAAGCTCCTGGCCCTGCCGCGCGAAGGGCCGCCCAGCGTCCTGCCCGCCTCCCAGGGGCGCCCCGACCCGTGCGTCAAGATCCAAGGATCGTGGTCTTAAGACCCCGATGGCTGTTTTTCTGGTTTAGTTTTATATTTGAGGATTTAAAAATACCTCTCACGTGTTCTCCGAGCCGTGCGAAGAGCTCAGAAGTCCGCGGCGGTTGTTGTTTTTACCACTAATGAGCTAATTATTCACGTACAGGGACGAACCCTTCTGCCCGCGGACAGCGGGAGGAGAAACGCTTTCCTGTGCTGCTTCCATCGTGCTGTGGGTCGGGAAGGCAGGCAGCGCGCAGAGGGAGGCCTCCGCCCCGCTCCGCAAGGGCTTTCCTCCGAGGCGGCCCAAGCGGCGGGAGCTGCTCCGCTGGCTCATTTAGGACCATCCGTCTGGGGCCTGGGTTCCTGCCCAGGTGGTGTCCTGGGGGCTGGCCACACATCTCGGTGTGGCTGGCGTGGGCTTCCTCGCAGCACCGTGGGCGCAGAACAGGAGAAATTCTTAGAGTGGTTCAGGGCTCTAATAGGAGTAATATAAATCCGAGAGCAGGCCCCGGGAGCGAGGGACTGTTTGTTACACAGTGACTTGGTGGCCGCAGCTGGCTGGGGCAGAGGCCCGGCCCAGAGAGGAGGCTGAGGAGGAAGGTCATTCAGTTTCTTGTGGGTCACACTAAGGACGCTTCCTGAGGGAAGTTGGAGTCACTGTTGTGCTTTTTCTTCTTTTAAAGCTGGAAGAGTCTGTGTTTATGTTGACACGTGTCCCTGCCTGGTGGGGGGGCTGGGTTCTATTCACACCGGTTCTTTGGGTGGTCCTTTCCCCAGCTTCAGATCATTGCTCTGCTAAGTGCTCCGAGGGGGGGGGGGGCTCGTGGATCTCCGACTTCTCTCTCTGCTGCTGTATCCTGTTCACGACTCTGTCCCCTCAGCCCTCGCCCCCTGGTCCTCCTGGACGTGCAGCTCCGTCTCTTCAGCTCAGGGGTCTCCACGGCTCTGCCTGGTTCCTCCCCTGCACCAGGACCTGGAAACTCTCTGAAGACAGGAAGCGGGGGCGATCTAGGGCTCCCCTTGTTCATCTCCTGCAAGTGCCAGTAATCACCATCCTTCGTAGTCTGATGTCCACAGTCTTAAAAACCACTGTGCTTTGCCCCTCTTATGGTTGTTTCTGAGAGAGGAGACCTGGTCCCTTTTATTCCATCTTGGCCAGAAGCAGGACTCCCTAATTAAAGTTCGTAATTAAAATTTGCCTCATTTTTTATAGAAAACAATGGCAAGTGCAGCTTTACCAAAGAGAATCCGAAATGGTCTGCGTTGCCGCCAAGAGGAATGTTAATGCTTTTTCTCTGGTGGAAGACAGTGGCGGTTTCACTACAGTGATATGTTAGCTTCGTGCGTGAGTGTTTAGGGACCCTTGTCCACGCTTGCTGAAATCTTGAGAGGGGATGTTTTCTTCAAGAAAGGACAATGGGGCACCTGGGCGGCTCAGTGGGTTAAGCCTCTGCCTTCAGCTCAGGTCATGGTCTCAGGGTCGCGTCCCGCATCGGGCTCCCTGCTCAGCAGGGAGCCTGCCTCTCCCTCTACCTGCCACTCCTGCAGCTTGTGCTCTCTTGCTGTGTCTCTCTCTCTGACATATAAATAAATGAACTCTCTTTTTAAAAAAGGACAATGAAACAGCTTACACATTCTTTTCCTTTAAATATGATCGGTAAAACTGTTTTCTTTACAAAGCTACATTGAACTGTTATGGGCTGAATTGTGCCCCACTCCCCAAGAAAAGAAAGATGCCTGGGAGTCTGAACCCCCAGTATCTCAGAACATGACCTTAGACTCGGGATCTTTATCCTTAGCAGAAGTAATCGAGTCAAATGAGGTCCTTAGGACAGGGCCTTCATCCAGCATGACGGGTGTCCTTGTAAGAAGGGGACGCTTGAACACAGAGGCAGACGTGCACGGGGGCGGGGGGGGGGGGGGGGCAGACCCAGCTGTCAGCCCCCCCCAGCGGATGTCTACACAGAAACTGAATCGGTGTCTCATTCAGTCCCAGGGACTGGAGCCTGGCCAGGCTGAGCGTGGGCCTGAGCATCGCAGGAGTCTGGAGGCGAGATCGGAAGGACGAGGGTGTGCCGGGAGAGGGACAGAGGTGAATGTGAGCTCTCAGTGTAATTACAGAAATCACCAGTAAGTCTTCTCTCCAAAAAGAGGGAAAGCAAAGAGGCCACACGTGAGCTGTGCTAAATAGAATTGCGATCTGCTGTTACCTCCAAGGACCTGCGTCCTCTTTTCTCAAAGTACCGTGTTGATCACTTGGTGGCGCTGTGGCCTCACAGACAGAAGGAAAAAAAATCTGCTCAAACAAAGCCTTGCCCTTGAAAAATAGGGGAAAACAGGATTCCAGTGGGCGGCCTAGGCCAGGGGTAGGCCGGCTTGGGGCTCTCAGCAGCCCCCCTTCCCCGGGAAATGCAGTTTTAGGTCCCTGTCCCCAGGAAAACTACTGGCACCATGGGCTCCTGGGAGTACAGGGCATGACATTTTGTTGGAGCAAAAAGGCGTGTGATAGGTTGCTGTCCCCTCACCTCTTCAGGGCCTGGCTGGGTGGGCAGGAGGGTGGGGGATATAAAGGTGTCCCCACAGCAGTCCAGGAGTGTCACTGGCTCTGCCCAGCCTGGCGTGACCTTGTCTTTGCCCCTAGCAGGGCTGGTGTGACGTTGTCATGAAGCTCCCCGCCCCCCTCCCTGGCTTGCTCCATGCAGGTCCCAGTTTCTAGCCTTGACTTCACTGGCTTCTGCTGAGTGCTCCCCCCACCCCCCCAGGGCCAGCGATTTGCACCCCTTCATGCCTGCCTCCTTATGCGGGGGAAGGGTGAGGTCCCCAGGCATGAAATCCTCCATAGCGGTTCGCACTGCTGTCTTTACAATTACATTCCCGTCTGTCCTGTTTTATCTCATTAAAAATATGCTGGCCAGGCTGAATGGGCTTAATTACACCACCACTAACACAGACTGTCCCCTTTAGAGACAACTGAAAAACGCTGCGTCTGTGGAGGAGCTCAACTTTGGTACCTTGGCCCCTGGCTAAGCCGTAACAGCTGTGTGACCGGGCTGAGCTGTGTCCACTCTCGTGCCTTAGTTTTTCCTGTGTGTAAAATGGGGATGATGCTGGGAATGGCCCCCCACCTCTTATGAGTGTGGCGCCATTGAAAGCAGAACAGTGGGTACCCTGGCCCAGGAGAAGGGCCGTGTAAGAGCCACAAGGATGATGATGGTGATGATGGAGCCTAACCAGCTTGGTCAGATCAGTTTTGGCCCCTGGACTACAGTATTTAATGTTGAAAAACCACTGATGCATTAAGACTCAATTTCTTCATTGGTGAAGTAGAGACAAAAAAAATGTACTTCCTCCATAAGGCTGTCGAGAGAATTATAGAGGTGATTCATTCATTTGACAAATTATCTATATATCATCTATTTATCTATCCATCCATCCACCCATCCATCCCTCTCTCCTTCCATCCATCTACCCACCCATCTACCCACCCACCCATCTACCCGTCTACTCATTTATCTATCTCTCTATCATCTATCTATCATCTATATTTTTAGTATCTTCTGGGTGCTAGAAACTGCTCTAGTCACTGGGGATACAGCTACTAACAAAATAAAAATGCACGTCCCCCCTGGGGCTTCCATTCTGTTGGTAGGACACAGACTCTTACCCAGTGAATAAGTTAATTACCGAGTATGCTAGAAATTGATAATGCCATGAAAGAAAAGGCAGCCTAGAGGTAGGAGGGGCTGACTTTGGTTGGATGTTTTGGTTATAAATGCTTTCTTTAGGGCACCTGCGTGGCTCAGTTGGTTAAGCAGCTGCCTTCTGCTCAGGTCGCGATCCTGGAGTCCTGGGATCAAGTCCCACATTGGTACCTGCTCGGCAGGGAGTCTGTTTCTCCCACTGACCTCTCCCCCCTCACGCTCTCTCTCACTGTCATTCTCTTTCTAATAAGTAAACGAAATCTTAAAAACAAAAAAAAAGTTCTTCAGAGAATGCCACACTAACCAGGTGTTGATTAGGCAAAGATACAAGCAGATAAAGATAAAAATTTTTTTTTAAAGATTTTATTTATTTATTTGACAGAGATCACAAGTAGGCAGAGAGGCAGGCAGAGAGAGGAGGAAGCAGGCTCCCCACCAAGAAGAGAGCCTGATGTGGGACTCAATCCCAGGACCCTGAGATCATGACCTGAGCCGAAGGCAGAGGCTTAACCCACTGAACCACCCAGGCGCCCCTCAAATAACATCTTTAAGAAAATGCTCATTTATTATAATCTCGCTTTTTCAAAAAGGTCAAAGCTGATACATATTTTTTTAACATTTCACTTTAAAGATAGACATAGGGGAGAGCAAAGGGGGAGAGAAGGAGGCTCAGGGACATACGCATTTT